AAGAAATAAAATGTTTATCTACTTACCGGCTCAACATCGCTGCAGAGTAATATTCAAAATTTTCCGACATTATATCTTTTCAATTTCAGGAAAAAAACTCACAAAATAATATTAGCGCTGACTTCGTCACCACACTTCGTAGCAGAATGAAAGCAACTGACAGAGTTTTTCAGAAATAATTGTAGCTATTGTTTGTGTGAGCATTTTTACCGCTATATTCCAAAGAAGACGCGAATTAAAAGCAGCGATGTTAATAATTTAATACTCACAACACCATAGGTCTGGCTGGACCTAATGTGTACGGTTAAGGTATAGATTTAGTAAATGTTTATTAAAACCTAAAATAACAAATAATTAAAAAAAAAAATGTTGAAAATAGTAGCTAATAAAACTGTTGAGGATATCATAAAATCTCAGATATTTAGCTTCTTGATTTCTGTGAGAAATACTTAGTTAAAGTTTGCTATAGGTCTGGCCAGACCTATGTGTACCCATAAGGATTAATAGTACCCGTTAGAGATGAGTCGGGGACTAATTGATCTCCAATTATACCCATAAGGGATGAGTCGAGACTAATTAACCTGCATTAGTACCCGAATGAGACTAGTTGGGACTAATTAATGCCCAATTGTACCCGATTGAGAGTAATCTCGGAATACTCCCTTTATACTATGTTCACATATAAGTAGATTATCCTCATTTTCGAGGTTAACACCCTAATCTGTAATTATAACAAGAGATTAGCCATATAAAATTCGTCCCTTGTTAATCTGTAATTATAAAATAATCTCAGATTTAACCGATAACTTTTCGGTGTCCATCCTAGTTTTATCGATTGTTTTTGCGAAAGAGAGGAGAAATGCCAGATGTAAAAGCAAACAAAAATGTACGCTAGCAAGTAAAGGAGGTTTGTAAAGGTATTTTTAATAAAATGTTAAGTTAAAATATATTTATATTGCTTATTATAGCAGAAAAACGTGATCACGGTGGCACAGAGAAGAAGCATAATTTTGCCTTGAGCTGTGAGAATAACAAGCACAACAAATTTGACGGCTAATAATCTGAGATTTGCCTGTGTAAACGGGGTGATTAAAAACGAGCTTTTATTGAGATAATATTGATATGTGAACATAGTTTTAGAGATTAGTCGCACAATTTTTTGCAGGGTAGTGTGTAGTTGGTTCTGTATGCTAATCTTATATTAGGGTTGTTGGTGTTTATTTCGTGGTCAAGTTGTTGGTAGAACTTAGGAATGTACGTCACACTGTGATACCGCTTTGTTCCGTCTGTTGCTTTTGTGGTTGGCGTTTTGTTTTGATTATTGTTTATTTCTGTTACTTTATTTTCGATTAGGCTTTGTAGTAGAAGGTTTGGGTAGTTATTACTTGCTAGACTTTTCTTTATTTTGCATATGTTCGTCTCCTTTAACCTATGAGTTTTTGCAGCCTTATTGTTAATATTTTGTGTATTCGATTTTTGGCTGTGTTAATCTTATACTTGAAGGGTTGCGATGACAGATAATTTATTAGGCGCCCAGAGGAAGTGGGTTTTGCGTACCAGTTAAGTGCAATAAAATCATTTTTTCTTGTGGACCGTGACATCTAAGAATGGTAAACAGAGGTTTGCTTCTGATTTCATAGTAAATTGCAGCTTGGGATGATATTTGTTAAGTGTTCTGAGAATAAAGTCCGCGTCCTTTTGTTTTATTATAGGAAAAATATCGTCTACGTATCTAACAATGAATTTGATGTCAATATTAAAATTTTTCTTCAGGTCCAAAATAGTGTTATCCAATAGGTCGTCCATTACTGCGTCAGCTATAGTGGGTGAAAGAGGGTTACCCATTGGCATCCCAAAGGTTTTTGCGTAGAAACCTCCATTGCAGGTGAAGTAATTGTTATCCTTCAAACAGAAATTCATGATATTTTGAAATTTATTTTTGGGTATTTTTGTGTTATGTTGAATTTCATCCCACTTGTTCATGATAATTTTCATAGCTAGATGTGTCGGTATGATGGTGAATACGGAGATCACATCGAATGACACCAACAAATCTTCTTCTTGTATTTGGATGTTTTCTAGCCTTGCTTTTAGTTGAAACGCATTTTTGGTGTTGTATTCCTCTGAGGTAAACTTTCTACCTTTTGCCTACATGCTTAGATAAACCATAGCATGGGACATTGACAGATGAGGAGATTGGCCGTAAAGGCAAGCCCAGTTTGCGAGTCTTTGGCAACCCGTAGAGTCTAGGTGCAGTTTCTGCTGTACATGTGAGCTGTTGTGTTTCGCTTCTGTCAATAATTTTGTTTTTGTATAAGTCATCTATTATGGTATTGTTTTTTTCTTTATAGTGCAGTTGTCAGGTCATTTCTTATAGTTTTTTAAGAGTTTTTGTCTTCACGTAGTTTTCTAATTCTTTCCGTGAAGTCCGCTTCGTATAATACCTAAATGTTTTTTATATGTATGTGCATTTATGTGAAACCAATTTAATCTAAGTGTACATGTATGTAAGTCATGCGATACAAAAAAGTTTATTTAAAAATTTTATGATTGTGTTTGTTTTCAAAACAGAACATATTTTTGTTTAGCAATCTTTAATTTTTATTTGTACAAAAACTCATAATTTCTATTTTAAATGATCTTGTTTTCCTCTGTTTTTTTTGTCGATATTTATAATAAAGAATCGCTCCTGATGATGCTAAGGTAGTTAGCGAAACGTTGGGCAAATAAGTGGAGAAAAAAGTGTTTTTCTTGCACATGGAGAGGTAGATCGACCAGCCTACAACAGTAAAATTGTGTGATTAACAAAAAAGAAAACTAGCGTATAGGATGCTAAATTAAATAAAATTAATTTTCAAAATGGACTCTAATTTGGGTAATAATATTCCACTTTTTACAAAAAATTTAATTAATTTAGTGGCCTTCAAGCTTTGTGGACAATAAAAATGTTCGATTTAGAGTTTTTTGGCTGAAACTAATGTTGGACTTTCTTGCACTTTTTGAATAATGGGATTTTTTCTTAGAAAACTCAAATCACCAACAAAGGTTGGAAATAAAACATATTTTGCCTTATTTCCCATTGTTTATTTATACTATTTGTAACAAAAACAGTTTACTGACAGAAGGAAAAATAGCTTTGTTTATTCCAAAAATACAATTATTTAAACAAAGAAAGTGATATAATCCATATGAAGAAAGTAGTAGTAGTGAAGTAGTATTTTTACTTATAAAAAGTCTAACAAAATATAGGGAAAGCGTCGTCTTTAATAATTGGACATAAATAGCACTTTTGTATGAATTGTACCTGCATGCTTTTTAATATGTTGAAAACATTGCTGGAAAACCTTAAATTGTTTGCATGAAACCATGGCAAACAGGTGAAGTAATAAAACATCTTTCTCGCTTTATTTTCTGAGATTCGGCTGCCTTGTAGTCACATTTTATAGGCAAATTTGCAAATAAGGCGGTGCCAAAATCTCAATAACACCGCATTACTTGGACTTGGACATTAAAACGCAGTTTCAGAAATGAACCAGTGACATTTTGTTATTATTCTTTTTTCTAAACGGCTATAATGCCACCATTGTATAACTGTGAAAATAGGGGAGGTGGGCGAGGGACGCTTTAGTAAATTTTTTTTATAGGTGGGTCCATTTGGAGAGTACAACTCAGGGTGACGTTGACTTTGTTTATTGTCTCGGTTCAAAGTTATGCGGTGTGAAACCCGTTTATAGGAAGCTTGCAAACGTGTTAAGCTTCTCTAAATCACCTTACGCTATCACGGCGGGCCTCTTGGATTTGCTAGCTGCTTTTCAGAGAGAATATTCGCTAGATGCAGATGCATCAATACTGCTCAGGTATCGTTGAGTTTGGAAGTTCCGTTTGTTCTTGAGGATCTCTTTTAGCTCTTTTGTGAGCTTCTTTACTTCCAGAGAGGTTGATACACTTTCACGTTTGTTAAGGTAAGATGTTGAATTCCAGACGTGAGGTTTTCTTGTGATTTAAGAGGTAAATTTTAAATCAAGGGTGGAAAAGAAAGGACAGATTGGAAGAAATTTCAGTCCGTTTTCCGTTTATGTAGGGTACATTGCATGGGTTTGACAACGAAATTGCTATTGAATAAGAATAAAACAGGGGAGTAAGTATGTACACTGATGCCTTGATTACTGGTTTTTAAAAAGAAGGTATTGCTTCTGCTAAAGAATAAGAATTTGTCCAATATCTCATTTAATTTTTCTTTAAGAATTATTTTTTTTTTTTGATAATTTAATGGCTTTTGCATCTACATTATGGAAACTGCAAACAACAACTTATAATTCGCGGTAAAAGATAACTTAAAGAAGGATTTCATATATGTAAAGCATGTTGGTTGAAACATGTTACAGTACGACCTCGGGAAAAGCAACCGGTAACAATTTTGGTTGAATTGAAATTGATGGGGATTGTTGCAATAACTGAATCCCAAAAAAGTTCAGCTTGAAATGACAATTTAACTTTAAAACAAAAGTATCACAAGTAAAATAATAGTGTTCATGTAAAGACCAACGACAAGTAATAATTTAATTCACCTGAAAATCATTTTTATGCATACGAAATCGAAATAAGTATATTTCATGGTTAATTTGAAACCGAAACTTTTTCAGCCGATTGAAGACAAAAATTAAATGAAAAAAGCTTATGGGTAGAAAGCTGCGTTTACGGAGGCACATTTTTTTTTTTTTTGAAAAGTTGCAATTATCTACTGAGCCACTAATGGTAAAAATTTTAGGTATTCAATTAACCGAGGTATTGCGTTTATCGAGTGTTACTTATATACTTGTGCATGCGAAATATGTAAATGCAAAAAAATATCTGCTCTAATAATAATACATATACAATTTCATTTCAGGAATTGATACCTATGTGCGTTCCATAAATTATAAAATAAAAGTGAAATGCTCCAAAATCACAGTTGGCCATTCCCATTCTATCAGGAGCCTATGTTTGGGATTATTGCTTCGCCAACATCCCTTGTTATACGATCCATAATGACGGCACCATCGCCACTTTGTTCAAACGATTTAAAAGCAAATAGCAGCAACCGATTCGACTGCAGCAGCATAAATTTAGTCAGTGAGAATATTTTGGGAGTTATGGGCACCAGCGCAAGTTTGATTGCAGTGCCCGGCGGCAGTGGCGAGGCGGGTAATGGGAATATTACTAATCTGCCAGATAATTTGCTGGATTTTGAGCTCGATCCATTGGAGCGAGTGGTATCTGCTATTGTTCCTGCGTTTTTTGGTATCATAGGCGTCGCAGGACTACTTGGTAATGCACTGGTTATATTTGGTGAGTATCTACTACAAGAAAAAATTAAATGGTGAGTACCACATAGAAAAATCTAAGCTAAGATTATAGGCCTAATAATTTTATTAAAATCGGAACACATTTACCATTTGCGCATGGCGTGGCAGTTTACCGAAGCTTATATGGTGGTATTCCACTATGCGTGGCTATGTATGCAGCATCTTTTTTCAGCGGCAGAGTAGCATTTCCCGTCGTGCTACGTAGTTAGTTGTTTTCTGGACTCGCCGAAGTCTACTAAATAAAATAATTAGTTTGTTTCCCGTTGCATTCTATTTTAACCAAAAAAATGTAGTTGGTCTAATAATGCAGGCAGAGTGATGCGTCCCCACATAAGCTGTGGAAATAACTGTAAATATACTCCGATTCCACGTTTGAATCAAAAAGAGTAAAGGCGGACCTACATATAATGCGTATGCGTCCGTCTGACATTGATGCCATGTACTGACCGACATCGAAAACATGTTTTCGTTGCTAAAACTGGTTTTCAACCTAAAACTACTTGAAAACTCATGTTCCACTCATTCCAATCGGCGTCTGCACTAGTTTATCAAAATGGAAGTCATATTTTATCATCTTTAACACGCCAGTTCGGATTTATTGTTAATTGGCTGGCCAAGGTAAAATAAGAATAAAAGAAAAAGGCTGCTAATGAAAAGAAAATGAAAGAAAAGTATTTTGGTTTTGT